TTACCAAAATGGAGCTGGATGCTCGTATGATGAAAGCGCATTCTTTACGCGTCTGCCTTAATTGTTTGAATAAACATCCATTTAAAAGGTGTCCAGATGCTATGGAATGTCAAGTTGAAGAGTCTTGCAAATATTGGCACCACCCCTTGCTACATGGGGCAAAACCATTAAAAAAGCTGTTACCTAAGAAAAAGTCCGAGGACAGTCCAGTGATGACAGTGGTGGAAGTACCCTTCATGAATACTGGCCCTAACGGGCAACCCTTTGGTACTCAGCAAACTTTGAGAATTATTGCTTTAGATGTCAAAGGTCCTAAAGGAAAAACCAAATGCGTACCTGCTTTATTGGATCCAGGATGTGCTAGAACCTCAATCAAGGAAAGCCTGGCACGAGAACTGGGGCTAGTAGCCAAAGCTAATGGAAAAATATTAGTGCAAACTGCAATTGGATTATCCCATAGAGCAGTAGCTAATGTTGATTTCTCCTTCAAAGGAGTTGGTGAAACTAGCTGGTTTTATACCACTGATGCAGCAGCGGTCAAAAATTTGGTAACGCCTGCAGTTAACATGGATTGGAAGAATCATGTCTTAAAAGCTAAAGAACTTGCAGATGTGAAAATTCATTGTAATGCCAATGGACCAGCAGAAGTAATAATTGGAATTGACAACGAAATCTTAATGATGGCCCTTCAGGGCACCACCCGCAGACATGGAAAAGTCTTTGCTTACAAAACGCCACTGGGTTGGACTGTCTCTGGACAGGTCAGTAACCAGAACGGAGTGCCAATGGACTCCATGTCAAATTTTATGACTTCTGAGTGCTCCTCGGAAGGGTCAGCCTTGCTTGAAGAATTTAAGCGTTTTAACGCAATTGAAAATGAAGGCTTTAAAACTGACCCAGAAGGACTACACTATGACCAGATCAAAGATCTGAAAGAGGTTGAAAATAAAATGCGCGTTGTGGATGGTCATTTTGAAGTAGGCATGTTGTGGATTGAAAAACCCCAGTTTCCGGAATCAACTAACCAAGCCTTAAGAAGAGCTGAAACCATGTCTCAAAAACTTAAGCGCAATCCTGAATTATTGCTGAAGGTTAGGAAAGGTTTTGAGGATGACATTAAAAAGGGTTACATATCTGAACTGTCTAGCAAAGAAAAGTTGAAATTCCTTGATTTGAATGACCGCTGGGTTCTGCCATGGATGATAGTCACTCATCCTGACAAACCTGACAAACCCCGAAGGGTCTTGGATGCAGCGGCTCTGAACAAAGGTGTCTGTTTAAACTCTATGCTGAAAAAGGGGCCGCAAGTGCAATCCACAGTAACAGGAGTCTTGTTAAGATTTCGCTTGAAAAAAATTGTGGTTAATGCTGATGTGTGCGAGATGTTTCCCCAAATTAGAGTCAGACCTGAAGACAGGGCTAAATTGATGTTCCTTTTTAAAGACCCTGAACGGGGGGAGCGGTGGTTCGTAAGCAATCGACATATTTTTGGAGCCACCTGCTCCCCGGCAATTGCGAATTGTTGTGTGAGAAAGATAGGTCAGCTGTCTGGTGATCCTCAATTGGAACAAATCACTAAAAACTCCATATATGTGGACGACTTATACGCCGGCTTTGATACAGCCGAGGAGGCCACAAGAATGGTAAAGCTGATTGATCTAAATATGCTGAAGCATGGTTTCACCCTTACAAAGTGGAAATCTAACTGTCCTGAGGTTCTAAAAGATATACCCATTGAGCGTAGGAATAAGTCTGAAAAACTCATTGAGAATGACCAAGTTTCTAAGGCGCTAGGGTTACTCTGGGATCCTACAAAGGATGTTTTTGGCTTCTCATGCAGAAAACCCATAGATGAAAATGGCAAAGCAACAGGCCAAGGGGAACTGCTCACAGTGGCAGAATATTTGTCTGTATTGGCTTCTTTATTTGATCCTAAAGGATACATTGGGCCTTTCAATTTTGCAGGGAAACGTGTCTTTCAACAAGCTTGGAATCAGGTTAAATGTTGGAATAAACCCATGCCAAAGGCAATGCAAAAGATTTGTGAGAACTGGATGAAGGATATATCCCTAGTCAAACAGTTAACTGTGCCCAGATGGCTTGGATTGAATTTGTCTGAACCTGTGGAACTACACCTTTTTAGTGATGCATCAGAAAAGGGATACGGCGCTGTTGCCTACCTGAAACAGGGCTCACTGGTGAAGTTCTTATTTGCAAAATCAAAAATTGCTCCAGTCAAGCCTGTCTCCATACCTAGGCTAGAATTGCAAGGATGCATGGTAGCAAAAGGATTGGCTGAGTACTTGTTGAAAGAATTGAAAGGACTTGAAATTTCTCGGATCATTCTTTGGACTGATAGTATGGTTGTTCTTGGTTGGCTGAGGAACTCTGCCTCACGGTATGTTACTTTCGTAGCAAATAGAATAGGGGAGTTACAAGAATTCTTGGAGTTGCCCCATAAATTCATTGCTCCACCGGAGTTTAGATATGTTGCCACCAAAGCTAACCCTGCAGATTTAATCAGTAGAGGAACCTCAGGGGCTGAAATGTTGAAGGCTGCTAAAATCTGGCTTCAAGGACCCAGTTTTCTGGGACTAGAAGAAAGCTTATGGCCCAAACAACCCAAGGCCCTTGCAAACCCCACTGAAGAACTGAAAACTGTTCCAAAAATTCCCGAGGAAATTTTTACAACAAGTTCTGTTGAAGATTCTTTTTCAAATGTGAATGACATAACTGAATTGCTGTCTGCTGACAAGAATGGAGAAATTCAAAGCCTAGCAGCTAAAGAAAAGGAATTAATCCTACTGGCTCAAAAAAGGCATTTTTCTTCAGAGTTTGATCTAGCAAAAGATGGCAAAGTTTTGATCAAGTCAGGACCCTTTGCAGGTTGGATTATTTGGATAGATGATGATGGTCTGCTAAGAAATGAGGGAAGGTTGCTAAATGCTGAACACTTGACCCAAGAGCAAAGGCACCCCATCTTACTCCCAAGCAAGGACCCGGTTACTAGACTGTTTATTAGATCAGCTCATTATAGTAATGCGCATGCAGGAGCAAAAGTCATCCAATCCATCCTGAGAGAAAGGTTTTTGATACAGCATATGCCCAGTACAGTGCGAGCTGAAATATACAGATGCGCTGAATGTCGGAAAAGAAACCCTGTAATGGTACGCACTATTAAAGCACCCCTACATGCCAACAGGCTAGCGGAAAACCAGCCCCCATTTTTTCATTGTGGTGTAGACCACTTTGGACCATATTTGGGCAAAGGTCAATCAAAAGCTTGGGGACTGCTTTTTATGTGCTTAACCACCAGAGCAATACACCTAGAAGTGTGCGCTGGACTTGGGGTAGACAAATTTATGGCTGCACTCATGCGTTTCATCAGTAGAAGAGGACAACCTAATACTATCTGGAGTGATTGTGGGACTGCTTTCATAGCTGGTTCTAAAGAAGCCTCAAGGCTATTCTATGATGAAGTAGAGAAAGGTTGCATTGTCCAATGGAAACTGACCTTTAAGACAAATCCCCCGGGGTCTCCCCACTGGGGTGGTTCTTGGGAACGCATGATTAAAGACATAAAACGTTGTTTGGATCACTGCCTAAAGGGCAAAAGGTGGCCTTATGACGTCATGGAAACATACTTAATTCGGATAGAATCTATTCTAAACAGAAGGCCTTTGGCTTTGGATGATGAGCTTAATCCTCTGACTCCAGCCATGTTGCTCCTACCCTTAGCTTCCATTACTAGACCTACTAAACTAGAGGGATCCAGTATTCGAATGTTACAGCACATAGGGGAGATGGAAAGGCTCTTCTGGAAAAGATGGAGGACTGAATACTTGTGTATGTTAAGCCCTGAAAGAAGCCTTGGGCCAAAACAAATAATTCAGCTACAAGCGGGAGACCATGTTCTAGTAGATGACCAAAAGTCCAATGTCTTCAATAATGCTTGGAATCCAGGCAAAGTTATTAAAGTGCATCCATCCTCTGATGGGGTTGTGCGAAAAGTAACTGTGGAAACAGCTGAAGGAGAGGTCATGCAAGGGACTAACAGACTTTCAATCATTGAGTCTTCAATTCTTGAACGTGATCCTTGGAAGCCGCAGAGTAATTCTACTCCCACGCCTTCGGGGGGAGTGTGAGAGTTTGAGTGCATTGAACCCCCAAAAACTGTCCGTTAATGCTCAGGAAAAACGGTTATCTTTTAGGCTCTTTGTGAATACGTTAATTTCCTAGTCTAGAATAAAAAATTGCTCCAAACAGAAATATCTGGTGACTTAATTCGGATAGAATCTATTCTAAACAGAAGGCCTTTGGCTTTGGATGATGAGCTTAATCCTCTGACTCCAGCCATGTTGCTCCTACCCTTAGCTTCCATTACTAGACCTACTAAACTAGAGGGATCCAGTATTCGAATGTTACAGCACATAGGGGAGATGGAAAGGCTCTTCTGGAAAAGATGGAGGACTGAATACTTGTGTATGTTAAGCCCAGAAAGAAGCCGTGGGCCAAAACGAATAATTCAGCTTCAAGCTGGAGACCATGTCTTGGTAGATGACCGAAAGTCCAATGTCTTCAATAATGCATGGAATCCTGGCAAAGTTATTAAAGTGCATCCCTCTTCTGATGGAGTTGTGCGAAAAGTAACTGTGGAAACAGCTGAAGGAGAGGTACTTCGAGGAACTAATAGACTTGCAATTATTGAGTCTTCAATACTCGATCGTGATCCTTGGAAGCCGGAGAGTAATTCTACTCCCACGCCTTCAGGGGGAGTGTGAGAGTTCGAGTATCTTGCCTCACAAAAATTTCGTTAATCCTCAGAGAAAAAAATGTTGTAGGCAAACGCCGTTAGAAATTGTACTCCAGGCAAACCGTTAAAATTCGGAAGTCTGTTGTAAATACAGTGCAAAAATGCTGGCGGAAATTCTACTAATAAAATTCTCTTGAGGATGCACAAATCTGTGCAGTTCCGGCGGAAATTTGATGTAATTTGCCCATCATCTGGGTACCAAACTTTGGAGCCCTTGCTCTGTTTTTCCCTTGGCCGTAAAAACCGTTTCTTCCCTGAGCCTCTGCTCAGCTTTGGCGGCATGGAATTGAACCTGAGAAAAAAACGGTGGGTGGGAGCCCGTTGAGACTCCCCACCACCAGGGCATTGACTTTTCCTAAAAACGTTAAATTAGCTGGCAGAATCGGGAGGCGGAAGTTTGTTGTCTTGACTGACAAAATTTGGCGCGCGGAAGTAACTGTGGGCGTCACCCTGGGTTCCTGTATTTAAATCAATGCTGCTCTGATCCAAAAACTCACTTCTCCTCAAAACTTTGTGGGCTGCAGATGCTGTTGTGTTGCTGTATATTTTCGAACGCGATTTTTGTGCAAATGCACCCAAGAAAGTGAAGTGTGGAAATTGTGAAGAGTGGCCTTAATACTCAGCTCCAGAAAATCATGTACATTCTCCAAACAGTTATTTCCTCTAAAATAATTTTGCAAGTAAAGTAAAATTCAAGAGGCCACAATATTGTTTGATTTTGTGTGATGTATGATTTGAACTGTGTATTTTGTATTTTATATTGTCTGTTTTTGTTTATTTTTAGGCAGAAACGGTAATGATAGTGGTTTGGTTGATGATCATTAATGATTGTTGATTGAGTTGGTTTCCTATACATGCATTTTGTGCTTGTGAGTAGAAGAAATTAGTGCCAGGTTTGTGGCAATAAAATATTGCACAGTATATACCTGACCTGTTATCCTTTTACTGAAACCTCAAATTACTGCCTGCTAACTTGAATTTCGAATTGGAACAGGATTTACGACCCCGAAAAGTTCCACCAATTGCTAAGAAAGAATTTTGGAGGCCAGTGGCCAGAAAACATCAGTCCACGGCTTAAAAATAAATATCTTGGAAGCTACCAACACCTCGACAGGTTGACGTACCTTTGCGTCTTTACACCCCATCAAAGTAGATTGCGAATCTAACGCTTTCAAGTACTGTTATTTGGGAAGTTTGTTGTCAGAAAACTTGTGTTTGAATCAATACTTTCACGCGAAATTCGAGTGACATGCGAGTTTATTGAGACTAAAATTAGTTCTTCGAACGTTCCCTACTAATACTGAATGTGTTTACTGCTGCTTTAAATTTCAATTTCTTCCGAAGACTTTCTAGCATGGACCGGTTGTATTTTCTCAATTTTTGTTGTAGCTAATTTCTCTGTATTGTGAAGGCTTTTTTAGTCTTTCCTGTTAGTTACATTTGACGCTCGTTGAAAAAAATAAGATTCACGGGATACCATTTAGATTAAATACTGCTTTCAACTACAATGTCTTCACTAGACTTTTTCCTGGTATGAACCTGATGTATTATCTCTATGTTTTTTTATATTTCCTTCGCATTGTAAACGCTTTTTTCTTCTTTTCTGTTATTTACATTTGACGATTGTTCCAGAAATGTAATTCATAGATCCCATCTGGATTATATACTCCTCATGGCCCGGATTTTCAAGACAATCAGTGAAGTAATACAGTATCTCGGATATAAAGAATTTCGGAGGCCAGTGGCCAGAAAACATCAGTCCACGGCTTAAAAATAAATATCTTGGAAGCTACCAACACCTCGACAGGTTGACGTACCTTTGCGTCTTTACACCCCGTCAAAGTAGATTGCGAATCTAACGCTTTCAATTGTCACTAACAAAGAAAAGAAAAATATGCTCTCAGTGATCAACGTGAAACGAATGACTCTTAATGCTGCTAACAGTTCAGATATATATTTTTAGAAGACGGACGAATTTACTAGAAAAAATTTCATTTTACACGATTGTTGACGTTTGTATGACATTTGTGTTGCACATATTGACTTTTGGATGTATAAGCACAGTTCTAAACACATGGTTGCAGTGAACAAAACCAAGAACAGTAAAAAAATAATTATTTTGCAGAAGAGCATAATAGTTTATCAAAAGATTAAACATATTGATCTCTCAAAGGGCAGGAATTGACACATATGTGCAAAGATGAAATATTTGCTCCTAGATTGCACCTTAAATTTCAGCCTCAAAATCATATCAAATTTTGGAATTCTTTCTGAGAAAGAAGTTCTGTGGGATTTTTCTTTCTGAACAAAAGTTTGTCAACCTTTGGTTGACAAACTGATATCTAGCTGCTGCATCTTTTTGGAATGTCTTCTTTGTCCAGACTTTTCTGGTAACAAAAAAATTCAACAAACGAAGATATGTCACAGGAGAATATCTCATTGATCAAGTAGCAATTCCACACGGAAAACCCTACCTGAACACCTGACAGGGAATGGCTCCTCTGGTGCGCTGTGGCTGCGGGTGATGACGCACTCAATCCTCCGCCTTTGAGCATCGTCGAGGAACCATCGAGGATGGCACTTGAATCTCCTGGGAATCAAACATAAGCCATGAAAACGCATAACTATAATGCATCATCAATTTTTTAATCAAAAACACATGACATGCGTCCCTCTTCTGAAGTGCGTCCCATTACGGTTAAATAGGAAGCGTATCCTGTATTTCATCATCACCACGAACAGGCAGATGCCTCATATCCCCTATACATATATTGTACAAGGAAGTTCAATGAAAACTTGCCGAACAACACATCAGTATCGAGAGCCAATATCCCATAACATTTTTCAATCTTCGGGAATCCAAACAAAAAAATGGAAGAAAACTTTCAACGTATACGGGATGAGAGCGTAGGTCAAAATCTTAGTAAAAAGCTAAGGCCGAATTCCTTTGCATCTACACACCATTCGCTTTACAGACAAAAAATATCTAAAAACAAAGGGACATCTTTTTTAAATTTGCACTTGATCTTGTCTGGGTTCAATAGACTTTGCTTGAAGCTCAAGTACCATAGCATTTCCAACAGGTTGCATCGACAGCTCACATTCTTCAACTTGATCACCTGCTCTGAAGCTTTTTATTTTTATTTACATAGTATTATCACAATCTTCATGACGAAGTTGAAATTTTTTTCACGTTTTTTCCAAAACATTCGTTGAATATCAGAACCTCCAAAACTGAAACTACGAACGCTGAAGGCGTCCGAAGTCGACATTCAAACGGTATATCTTACGGGTTTCCAAAACGTTTTTCAGGTTCGCAGGAACTCTAAACCTTTTCTTCATTCATAATTTTCACTATCATTCGTTTGGATGTCGGCAAATGCAATTAATCTTTTATACTGTGGTAGAGGAATAAATCCGAAGAGTTGAGAGTGAGTTCTCTCAAACCATTCCGGAGCTTTCTTTACCATGGTACCACGCTTAATCAATTTTTAGAGCTTGGTTCAACCTCTTTCATTAATGCTTCGCAAAATCATCAATTTTCAGGCCAGGATAATTGAACGAGTAATTGCAGTTACGGATTCTAAATGCGCCGGAGAAGTTCCGAGAGTCAAACTCGTCGGGGAGAGAAACAAAGCCAACTCCTCGCACATAAGGCGCGCACGGATGAGTTGAGACGGAGAAGCACTGGGAGCGAGGCGTAAAAGATACGTCCGAGAGAAGATGTGAGATGAGACAAGCGGGGTCTTTGATCGCGAGTTTTATCATCAAAACGGAATACGGAGTCCGGCTTAGATACAAAGGGGAAGCCGCAAAAGCGGATAGCCCGAGTACTGAACCCAGGCGACGAAATCGTCTCCTAGGAAGTCTGTCAGGATGGGATGTGCACCACGCGAACCGGAAAATTTCGTCTCCCGACGACGCTGGAAAACCTGTCGCAAATGCTTACCAGGTACGTGGGCGTTGAGCATCGAGGATTCCGAAAGGCTTGTGCCGGTCGAGCCGAGCCCACCCGGGGACGGAGCCCGTTGTATGATATTTGCAGGAGGAATTGGCACGTTGGGCTGAACCTGGATTCCGGTCGGAACGGAGGCAATACCCCCATTCGATGCTGCCACTTTCGCTGACTCGATTGTCGCCGCTTTCACTTCGTTGAACTTCTCTATAAACTGTGAGGAAAAAATACCAGTGAATATCTCTGATTCAAAAATACACGGATTTCGTCCAATCAATTAAAAAAATAACCACAATTTGAAGCTTTCTACGCGGTACCAGAAGATACCGTATTTACTCAAGTACCACGCTACCTCGAGTCTTTCTTCCTAAAATTTTGATTTAACCCAATGCCAAAGTAAGCCAGACATCTCATCTTAGTGATACCAATTTTAGGGACTGAAAAACTAAATATTTCAAAAATAAACACCTAAATTAACATTTAAACATGATTTCAACCTAAATTCAATCAATTTACAATTGCTTTGATTTTAAAAAAGTTCCGTCAAAAATTACTCATTATATTCAAGTGTGCGCACACCTGAACTTCTAAAACTTTTTTGAAAATTGTATCCCCACCTATGACGCAAAAACCCCACTTTTCCTTTCAATTTTGAGGAAAAATATGCGCGGGGTACTCGAGTAAATACGGGTAATAGAGTACCTGCGAGGAAATCATTCGTGTTATGAACAATGCTGGAAATCCGAACGCACTGTAATAAACTTGAGCAATTGTAGGCCGCACACATGATTCAAAAGTGGATAAGAACTGAGATGGCCGTAAAACGTCGGAAATTTCGAAAGAGAACTATTGATACATTATAAAACCCACTTTACCGACAGAAACTACACTTCTTGTACATACTGTACTTCAGTACCATGTAGTGTACCACCGTATCTCGAATACATGCGGAACTATGATGCAGTAACTCGGGTGCGGTCCATTGCTCGAGTATAAAGCCGCTCCCAAATTTGGAAGAAGGGTGCTCTTCGATCAATTCTTTTAATGACACTCGCAAGAAAAAATTATTTCGAAATGATTTAACGAATGAATAAAAAAGGTCACACAATATGAGACCTGAAGATTGTGATGATGCGGTTGTCAGCTTCGCCGGAATGACACTCTTGGGCCATTATCCACCGAACTTTAAAATATCGTGCATGCCCTTTGCTAAGAGTTGATATGAACAATTAATGCTTCTCCTTTATACAGTAATTAAGGAATAAGCTAGGTCACATTTCTCAAATTGATCGACATTTTAATTCGAGTGTTGCGCCTTTAAAATACACGCGGAAACGTGAAAGATCCAGTTGAATTTGACCGCATGCTGGTTTAATCCGGTGGATTCGTAAGAGAAAGAAAATTATGTCAACCAGACGCCAAAACAGAGGCTTCTAAACATGCTTGAGAATGACCACATCAAAAGCACTATAAACCTGAAGCATTTTGGTGATCAGGAGCCGAAAATTTAAAGTACTCACCACATTCAATTCCGCTTCGTTCGGAAAGCCAAGGCCGTAAACAGTATTCGCCCGCAGATCTGACCATTGTCCAAATTTCTGCGACGTTTTAGTGAACGTCATCGCCGGAGTTACAGTGCTGTTGATGACAGCCTGAAAAAATATGAACAGAAAGGTATGTCTTGAACAACTGTCAGCACAGTTCGTCGGCAGTTACATCAAAGCAATGTCGGCAGCGAATTTCTCCACCTCCTATCGTCGACTTCCGACATGTTCAGCTTTTTTTTTCGCAAAAACGAAAAGACTCCTGCTGAACTTTTCCAAAAGGAATCAATGGCGGGTTGTCAGCAGACGTCCGACCTCATGGCCGATAACGAATTCCATTTATACGCGCCCAATAGGAACGGCAGCGTTTAGAGGGAGGCTGAAAAAGTACCCACGAAACTTCCCACCGGAACAAGCAAAGGCCCACGGGACGTCCGACATTGTTCACCGCAAGGATAATGGTGGTCGCGAAACCCTGACAGATAATTAAGACCACGTCAAGCGTAAACGTTCCCTGGGAAACCGCGCTTTTTCACGCTAAGAAAACTCGGAACCCGTGGAGGAATTCATTTCCCGGCCGGGGGAAATCTAGTCCTGAAACGCGCGACGGTGCGACATCGGTATGTAAGCGTGAAATGGATGCCGAAAAAACCTGCATCTGATGTAAAATGACCCCAACTGATATATCTGACACCTCCACCATCTATAAATCTCCGTCAACGCCGAGTTTCCTTCGTTCGCATTGCAGTTCCATTTCGAAAATCGGAACTCGAGACTCATGCGAACGACTCGATCAAAAACTTCAATCACGCAGACATTTTCAAAATTTGGAGGGCCGCTGAAGCACTACAGGCAATAAATCTATCCATCAAGCGGGCGAAACCATTAAACCGTTAACATGAAGTACTTGTAACAGAATATCGGCCACACCATTTTCCAAAAATGGCTCAAAAATGAGGGTGCAGCCTACGTCCAAGAAACACACGGTTTTTCGAACGATCAACTAAAAATAGTACTCACCTAAATGCGGTAATTTCGAGTACTCAAGTAACTTTAATATCGTAGCTGATCGATTAAGGCACACGGAGCTTGTGACGAAATTCCTTTCTTGAGACTGAAATTCAATGGTATGATAAATAAATAAAAATGCTCACTGAAAAACGAACGGGACTTATTTCTAGAAGAGCAGCACACATTTCCCGTTGCTTTCCAACGATATCACAAATGCGAGGGTTTACATTAGGCCGTCTGGCTGTCGAAAAGCTTCCAAATCTGACTTCATTTCTTCTCACGCTTCAAAGTCAAGATAGACAGATTTGTCGACGGAAAATACTTTCTAGCAGATACTAGAACGAAGCGATGTCATAAAAATCGTACACAGTCGTAATCCGGCTGACGGCCTTAATCCGTTCTATCACTACGGCAGCTACAGGAAAGGAAGTTGACGTAATGTAAACCCACAATGTCCTATTATAAACGGGGGAAACAATATCCAACGTAATCCATAACGACGGAAAAGAATTCAAGCCCTTGAAAATCATGGTGGCTGACACACTCAACGCACTAACTTCAGTATCTAAAAAAACATTTCTACAAAAAGCGGAATGCTGCAATGCGTGACAAAAATCTTCAGCCGTTCCACGCCATTATGAGGGCAGGATGCTATCTGAGACAGTCGTGAACCCGAAAAAGATGGAATGCTAATTTATGAAATCTTCCACAGGCCGTTTATGATCTGAACTCAAGGGAGAACAATTCGGATGGAACCCAGGACAGTTCAGATTCCAGCTACGTACTTGAAATCTAAAATCAACTATTGTACAATGGTACTCCAAATGGTGGCAGCTGAAGAAAAAGCGTACAACGGTCTACCTTTGCCCGCAATTCGTGTGAATACCTTGGATAGAGTCCCGCGTTCGGTTTTGAGTGATCATCGATTTAAAAAGGACGAAAAAAGGTGCTCGGTGTTTCTAGGTTGTACTAAAAATAGCTTTGCACAAAAATTATATTTTGATTCATTTCCGATTTTCTTCCTTGAATTTTTCGCGCTCCATTAAATTTTTTGCTTTGAATTGTTCCAAAAATGAGTTGATATTTTGGCGGGCCTCGGACTGACCATTCTTTATAGGTTTCCATCACTTACCCCAAGTACTAATTTAGTAAGGGAATTGCCCAACGCACAACAATACTGTACTGTCACGCTAAAATAATAGTTTTGGAAACGAAAAAAAGGGCGCCAAATTGGAAAACATGCGTCGCATCGTGTCACTCATCGTCAGCCGTCAACCCGAAGACCGTTTTAAGAGGTATAGATTATCGCTCAACACTGTCCTTCGTCAACTGATTTTCGGGGACTAGAATAATGTCCTTCATCCCAACACATCGCGACTCGAGGGTAATTATCTTCCTCCACATACCCCTATCCCGAACGAACCAGGAATGTCAACGAGATTCGAACAATTAGCATCGATCGAGGGACCATAACCTGGCGAACGGATTTTCCGCCGCACGTCAAATGCTCCACCAATACCACCAGAACTAAATCCCATCTGTGCCAAGGATTAGGGGAAGTCCAGCATATCACTCCCACCCGCCCTCATTTTCCTTCACCAATGATTCGAGTCCGGCCTCTGACGTACTTCATGCAGAAATAGGGGTTTCGTTTCAAGGAGCGACTCGAGACAAAGTTTTCCAAAATGCTGAAGAATCAGCACGTGTTCTGGAGAATTTTTTACTACTTCTGCAATTGACGACAAAAATATAACTGGCTTCATACAAGATCCCTTCGATTCTCTTAGAATATCTGTGAGCACGAAAGAAATAAGTTCCATGTTTCGTCGACCCGCTAGAAATACAGGGAATGATTTTATTCAGACATACCCGAACTTTTCTACTCGCGAGCATGTACTCGGGTGGCATGTCGATGTTCCAGAAATCTTGACATCATCGAGGGACGTTTTGATTTCCACAGCCAGGGAATTTCACTTCCCAAATCCAGCGGTTTTAACTTCCCGCCATTCAAGTGCATTTCTCCGAGAATGTGTAACTCAGTCACGCCTTCGAGAAATCCTAGCTTATATGATTAATTGCTTTATGAGCCGGGTGAATAAACTCTCCGCGAACACTGAACAATATTTCGCTACCCAAAATCCAGCACTACGTGACAAGCAATGATAATTTAACAGTATGCGAGGCACAGAAACTTCTCATTAACTGTAATGCAATGAAACTAGGGCAGCATACTGAAAATAATCGGATCGCAAGATGACAGGGATTATAATATTGTAGTGGTCTCCATAACTACGTCGGAAACGCCATTTACTTTATCCTCATTTTCGAAACGAGTTCCTTTTGACGCGTGAGCGCCCGACTTGACAAAAATGATTACATTTTAAGCAAATTACACTCTACAAGAGAAGATTTAGGAATAAAAATACTGAAGATTATTCTGAAACGGCCGGAAACCCTCTCAGCAGAATAAAATCTCGAAGCCACGTACGTTCACCCGGATAATCAAATCTTGCATCACAAGGACTCAACGATTGGAAATCATATATTATTTACAATTCTTAAACTTACAACAATCTAAAAATGCAACGATCCGAATGCGAAAAACTTCATGAACATGCTAGAAAATAAGATTGATATCAGACATGTATCTCCCTTCCGCACAGAAGATTCATGCATTTCACATCATTAATCGATGGTAGGGCAATTAGAGTTTGATTATCTAATTTAAAGGTTTCATCAAGAGGAATTCCAGTGACATACAAAACTAATTCACAAAGAAAGCATCAAATTATCTCAAGTAAGCCTTGGAGCCAAGTTCTCAACTCATCAACCGCCTCATATCGACTAGGTAAGAATACAATTGATGAATATAGTGGACACGACCTACCCGTATAATTCAAAATTGAACTGTGATGTTCCAAGTTTGCGGACAGATGTAATAACCCGCACGCGCTAAATTTTATATTTCCTGCAGAGATAGGGCTATCTCTTACCGTGCGAATCGAAACATGATTATACAGTAGGCGCAAAACGTCACAAATTCCGAAGGTGGCGACAACATAAACGAATACGAAAAAGGTTTCGCTAGAATTTCTGCACGAAAGGGGACGGTTGTACCCCTTCACTTCCTGCTTACTCGCAGTACCGAAGTGTAATATCCTCGAATCATCATGCTTTTTCTCAGGACAAAACAGAGGTTAAATTTCGAGAATGAAATAACTTCGGATATGATCAAGGCAGGTAATTCGTCAAGCCGCTAACCCGCACCCGATATCATCGCCACATCGACCCGCAAATGTCTAGCATGACGACCGAAATTGCCAGGCATAGAAGCGCAGGTGATCGATGACTGAGCCAATGTCAGATACATCGAAGGTAACAAGATCTCTTCTCAGAAGAACCAATCTCTCGTGGCATACGGGACAGTAAGAAGTCGTCGACCTCGCATAGAAATGAAAATCCCACGGAGACCCGACGCATTCCAAATCGATTACAAATCTGTAAGATATTCCCACGAACGGAAATGTTTCTCGCAGCGAGACGGGAACGGTCCACTCGGCAAACACGAATGCGACTCACCTTTGTGCCTTCCACGGATATGATGCGATACAGCATGCGTGTCGAGTCGTAAAAGAACGACACGGACACCGCCGAAGAAGAGGCCGGCAGCCAGCTCCTCTTCGTCTTCGGGTCGATGTGGAACACATGGGCCTTGCACGAGAAGATGGGCTGTTCCCTGGAATGGAAGATACGGTTCGGGACGTCAGATTAGTGCACCCCTGGAACCCACAGAACATCTACAGCAACCATCATCCCAGCCGCATCGGACCCCTGTTAATGCTCACAAGGGTCGCAGTGAATCTTTCGGTGAGCGCAGGACACACGCGATAACCTAACGAGTGCTCATGGCTGACCGGGCAAATCGCGTCCCTCCCCAACTATTTCTCAGCTTACGCATTCCTTGACCAGCAAATCGAATCTCGTTGAGCTTCTCACTCTTTTCCGGAGAAATCAACAAAGCTATACGGAACAACAACAGAACTCCGATTACCCATGCTTCGATTTACTCTGCCTCAATTTAAAATCGTCGAGAGGAAGCAAAGCTTACACAGGGTATAATTGAAATTTGAGCCGCTTCATTTCCTTCTGATTTGCTGGTGATTCGGACTTTCGCATTTTCGAAGTTTGCAGGCGAGTAATACCTGTGTCATGCCAGGGCATCTTTCAATCAAGTTTTCATTCCTTGAACACATATATTCGTTCAGCGTACCATTATGGCATTATAAGTAAAATTTTATTATGCTGGCGGAGGCACCCTGTAATTAATCCAGGTAATCGGCGCATTAATACTGTACTTCCAGTGCTATTCTCCTCGCCTCCCGATAGTACCATCAACTCCGATGCTCACCTGACACTAAATTCATATTTTTCAGGTTTTCACTCAAATGAAAGAGCCTTCTCGAAGTGATCATACGTTTGTTTTATGGAACAATTTTTTTTTACCAACGACGGAAATTTTCTCCAAGAAAATAAACCGAATTCCGTACACGTTCCATTTGAAACAACGTACAGTACTAATTTCATCGCAGTAGACGAAGAATGCATCAGAAGATTTTCATACATTCAACTTGTTGAGTGTTGAAAGAAGAAGCTTCCCGCTTCTTTCAGGCGTCAGGCAAACCGCCATTCGCGAACAAAACATTGTTCTTTTTATTTCCGGGCGTGTCACGATGAAATAAAATACAGTTGGATAAGAGATTTTCATTTTGAATCCGAGTCATTCACCACAACATGGGAACGACTTTTGCAGTCACTTCATGCATTATGAAAAATCGCTTTCTGCTTGGCCCGCTTCCATAGACAAAGCTATTCGTTTTTTTTGACAATACTGTATTAAGAAAGCTGAACTCTGCGAAGTAAGGCATTCGCTCTGAATTATACTATTTCAAATACTGTTTTCTACTTGTCGCAACGAGGTTTTCCGGAAAACGTTGCTTCCCAGCGGCAAACGTGAATTAAATTTTAAGCTAGGACGATTCAGGAAGAACTGGAATCGATAACCGAAGCGGCGGAAACCCCGAAAATGAATGCAATAAAATATGAGAATCTGAATGCGGAATCGAACGGTGGAATGCTACCAAAAAATAATACGGCGAGGGCCAACCGACAGACAGAAGGACCTTTTCTCGACTACGCCTCCCATGAAAATTCCAACTGCTGAAATATAAAGAATATGGAAGTCGAAGGAAACGGAAATTGACCTTCCAGGAAATTCAAGGACGGACTGAATCACGAAGACCCCGGTGCAATCGCGCATCGCGAGCTGAACGGCGCATTCGTCATCGCAACGTCATTTTTTTTTCTCCCTTCCTTCGCTCGACGCGACAGGATAAAAACCGCTCATGAATAGCGACAAAATCAATGCCTGCGTCTGTCGCCGCAGCTATGAATGAGCACGTGAGTTCAGTCCCCTCCAGTTTTTTCGTCCCGGACCTCAATTCTCCTCGCGGGAGAAAAGCCCTCCTTGACGGAAGACGCACAAATGAAAGCCGCTCGACCCAGTGACGCTCTTGGACGCATTCTAACGAATTCATCATGTTCCTCCGGAAGACGGGGCCGCGGAGATGAGAAAAAAACAATTAAGATGCGGCTAAATATAAACTATCATACGCAAAACCCCATTCAAATTACCACTGATATTTCCCTTCATGCTTCACATTTTTGACCGTCAGGATCACGCAATCATGTCGAATTCATCAGCATGTTCCGATGACACATGGCATGAACTTGTAAAAAATACAATAGATGGCACGAAGTTTGGCTCATTGCCTTGAAGTCCATTTTCCGAGAAACAACCCATTAGACTAATATGGAATTCGTAACAAAAATTGAAGCATATTTCGGATCATTCGTTCAATATTGGTTTTGACTCGCAATGTAAACTTGGGCGGCCAATTGACAACCAAAGAACATTTTAGGGCAACCTTCACATTCAGCATCACCAACAAAAAGGGTCCGAACACGCTTTTAATAAAATAGCGCTGTCGGACTAGGGACACTAGGAAGATATTTCAACCCTTCAAAATGAAATTGTTATAATTTGAAGAAATTCTGCAACGTTACAGAAAATGGTGGGGTGGCAGGTGAACCATAATTGCTCAACAGAGATTGGGTGCACGATCAAATTTCTAACTTCAATCCCATTTCAGCTTTGATACCTAAAACTTGGATTAGCCGCCAGGAAATTATTGAAGACTGCATCGCGAAAGTAACATTCGCCTAACATCCAACTGAAATTTGAAAAAAAGGAACCACGACTGGATCCATCGTCTGAAAAAAATCATGAATCAACATATCTTAAGTGAACAAGTGGGTATTCTCTTGAAAATGTCATTGTCATCGATATGTAAACAGAACATACGTATCGCTGAATTTTTTTTTTTCAATTTCATCGCCGACTTTCTGCCACCGAAGTTATGTAATGTAAAAGGTCCAGAAAACCAGGCAGAGTATCATATTTTATTTGTTAAATTTGGTTCAACTGAGACACACTGCATATTCGTCATATGCTGGTGTGCATAGAATCAGATTATTGTAATGCAATACTGTACTGTGTTATGTTACGAGAAATGTATGAAACGATCCATGGACATACATCGCAAAGAGAACCTCACGGAAAAAAATGATAAAGCACTCAAAATTACTATTTATCTGGCAACCACTTTCGATTCCTAATGACCTGTGCTCGGAGATCTTCGAAAAAAGTAGTGAAATAAAAGTTAGCAAAACGAAGTTGGCAAAACGAAGGCGACTCGACTCTCTTTCCCGTCTTCTGCAATAATGGAGGTTCGTAACGACGAGCATTGTGCAAAAGATAAATGATCCTGTTTCTTCACGAAAAATGTATGGTGACAGAATAATCTTCATTAACACAGAGAGCACCATCGTGAAAGCAAATCGTGCGGCGAAAACCTGGAAACTGTCCGTTCGTTAGAAGCCCTCAACCCTTCGCGGCAGCACGAGAGCACGAAGAACAGTTGAAGACGTTAATTAGCGATATAAATCGGTAGGGTTACACAACTTAGGCACGCATCAGTCATACATTTTTTTACGGGGAAAAACTCGAGATAACTGGAACAGTAAAGCACTGTATTTCAATGCGAGGCGTGAGACAAAGTACCACATGGGGACCAAATTCAATTGAATTAGTGAAGGAAGCACGCTTTCATCAAGGCTGATCTCGGGAGGACGCGGTGGCCTCTTTTGGAACATTCCCTCAGCTGTCATATTAAGGCATGATCAATTCGACTAATTATTCACAGCATAGGCATTGGACGAAATGCAATTCATTGCAAAATACGTGACAAAAATATTTCAGCTAGAATTAACGTTCCACGAAGCAATTCTGACTAATTCTTAAAATTGAGCCGTGGAAAGCAAAGGCCTTTCCACCATTGCGAGAACCACTCCCAACTTGCCGTAATTTTGAAATCCTTCGAATTATTCTAGGTGGATCGCGGTACTGTCAAGTTATTTATTATCATTATCTAAGCATATAATCTGAGACTGACAAAAGATTTCGCAAGGATGTCAAAACATCGTAGGGAATAAAGGCAGATCTAGTGAGCGGTTTAATCCCAAGCAGATCAAAATGGTCCGGTGTCAGCTTAAATTTAGTCGGTCATTTATATCCCGGAATATATTTTTCAATAATTGAAAGGACACTGCGTGAAATATTCCCCGTGAATTCTGTACGTTTTCGATTTCTTGAAGCATGATTCAGACATATTTTGAATGCAAAATGCGTAGGGCAAAATAAAGTTTCCAACTTGACACAAATCAATAAAAACAATTACTGTATTGAAAATTGACGGAACAGTCGAATTCCACAGTTCGTTTTTACATGGTTACTGTATTTAATGTTGTAACCATGTTCTGAAAAAATCTGGGCTAGAAATGAGTAAAAATATTTTCAGCGGCTGAATATCGTCATCGTGAGCCATCCCAGCACCTATTCAACCCACTGGAGTTGAAAGAGGTTTCACAATAGAAATGTACTCTTTTGCGCCATGTTTGAAACATGCATCAGCGTGTATTGAAATACATTGTTGCGTTTTATGTTTTTTTTTGCTGGAGTTGTCTCACCGTTGCACAGGGTTCATCCCTGATTCCCGAAGATTCCGCTAATTTTTATTCCAGGAAAAAAGTGCTTCAATTTAAAATTTTGAATCATTGTTCATTTCAATTTTCTTGAAATTTTAAAAGTACTGATGCATTCCAAATTGTGCTGTTCTTCTTCACACAAAGATTAATCATTTTGTTAAGAAAACCAAAAAAATTGGAATGATGCATTCCAAATTTTTTGAATGCAAGAACAAAAAAATGGAATGCATCATTCCAATTTTTTTTCGTCTTCTTCAAAAAATTTTCAGTTGAAAAATTAACCATTATTTTCAAACTAAAATGCCCGGGAAAATTTGACTGAAGACCAAAATTGGGGATTACAAGATTGCTCATTAAAATGTTAATGTCTTTTTATTATAATTATGAATATGAGACTGAACATTATTCCTTTCATATTGGTTTGGAAACATGCTCCAACAGAAAGTCTTTATTCTGTCTGTCGTAAGTAACAGAATGTATATTTTTTCCATATTTATCAGAAATGCACCACAAACCCAAGTGTTGATTCTGAAAGAAGCTTTTCATTTCTTTGTTCTGGATTAAATGTTCATGTCACACCCGTTTTGATCCAAGAAAGTGGAATTTTCTTCTCAAACATTGTTTTCAGAAGTTACTGCCTTCCTCCCCTTTTTATAAATGAAATTTGGCAATTTTATGAATTCGTGGATTAAAATGTATATCAAGTACTGTATATTTTGTCCATTTATACTGTATTCAATTACTAATATGGACAAATTCATTTATTCGCAAAATTTGAATGACTCTCGATATATTTCTCTTGGGTTGAAATTAGCGACAAAAAAGTTTGCTGGATGAGAGAGCAAGACTCCGGCATATCTACTGCGGAAATACATCTGGGCGTAAAAATAATCCCACGTATTCCGTGGTCAATGTTTCATGTAAAAATCCCCAATCGAAACCTCGCCATCGAATTAACCAGAACAAGAGGTGGAAATCATTAACGAAATACTGTATAGGAACAGTAACTGGAAGCATTTTCCCCAGAAAGTCGTAAAGGCGTGCTAAGAAACCCCAACGAATTTTGGAGAAGAACCCAAGGTAAAAGGAGGTGATCGCCTCCTTCTCGGGAATCGCCCCCCAGTGAAGTGGTTGGCGGTCGATAGCACACCTATTAACCGACACACAGGGCAGGCTTAAATGCAGGATATCCTTCAAAGTAATCACCCGCACACTTCAAGTACTCAGCCACCGTCTCAACAAACTCACGACAACCTACCTC